TCTCAGTGCTTCATTTTTCACATCTGTAAAGATGCTTTAACTTCTCTCTTTCAAGCATGAGCTCTTCAGGACAGGGACCTTTTCTTACAAGGTGTGGATAGCACGTACCAGATTGCACCCCCCCTCCCCGCAGTTTAATATACAATTCAAATAACTATATACATTCTTCAAGAAAGCCAAGATAATGGTTTGCCCCTGGTATCCATTACAGAGTATTATATTTGCGCAGGTACTAAAGATAAGTTAAAGTCACCATTGTTGCACTACTCCCTTACTCTAGCATGCTATCAAGTCCTCTTTCTCTTAGCTACTGAGATGCCTCCCAGCATAGCTGATGTTCTTAATACAATTCTTCTTCATGGTAAAGTTGGCTGAAACAAGCTCAATCTATGTCTCGTCAGAAAATATTAGGCTTAAAAAAGGTTTAGAATTGCTTTCCCTGGAGTCTCCCCAGACAGTACTTGCCTTTTGTGCCAGAACTATCCGTGGGAGTTGGGGTGTGAAGTTTGCAGTGTACATGTCCTGATATCATATTCCAAACAATTATTTCACCATCATAGCTGGAAGTAGCAAGAAAAGTAGGTGGACACTGAGCAACACAGAGAATATCCTCCTTGTGGCCATGGTTCTAAATGAAAATTGAAAGATCCTGTCAAGAGACATTGCTGCTACTTTCTCATTTTTCACCAGGACAGAACCCTAGATGTAAGGACCCTCATCTATCTCTCCAGCCTAGTTTTCTAGTAGCACTGGGTTAGAATATCAAGACAACTGAGATTCTTGACTTTTGGGCAATATAAAAGGAAAGAGCCTGCTCATAGGTACTTTCCATCCCCTTGTGAGGGTCTACAACTCATGCAGCTTTAATTATTACCTCTCTGTGCTAGTGACTCACAGATCTCTCCCTACCTAGTTCAGACTCTTCCTGCCTCTCTGATACCTCCTTGTGGATGGTGTGAACATTGTTTTCCCAAATTGGGCATAGTTAACTGCTTGTTAGTAAACTCTAACGGTCTATGTTGAGCCCTGTGCGCCAAACATCTATTCAACTTCTTGTAATACAGATGAATTGAGGTGGATTCTTACTATGTCATCCTGCCAATAGGGCTGCGGTTTCTGAAAATGATGCATATCATCTGCTGAATCCTGTATCAGGGAACATAGAAAAAGGAGAGAGGCTTGAGTATTTTCTATATGTTCTCAGGGCAGAAGATATCTGCTTTTCACCTGAGGCTTCCAATGAAAGAAGTGTATATGGCACACGAGTCACATGTGCAAAGGCTAAATGGCCCTAACCTGCAAGTGAGGTTGGCTGGAGAACATAAATTCTATTTTCTGAAAAATTTAAAGGTTTGGGGATAAGTTTTTGTTCTAACCTGAGAATGAAACTGAGACCTTGTGGAAAAGTGTGTGTGAGGAAACACCAAGCCACCCCAGAAAAGAGCCACTACATATTGCACTCAGCTGGGATGTGGCAGAGTTTGCCCCAAAGCAGACTAGTCCTGCATTTCCTACCTCTCAGATGTGTGTCCAAATCTCTTGGCTAGTCTAAGCCTATCTGCTCTCGCTCACTCTCTTCCCTTAATGCAAGATCTCCCCACCCCGCAATTCCATCCCTAGATCTAAAAGAAACCCTTTTCCAATAACTTTATCGAAGGACTAGCATATACAAGATGCAGAAAACACCATTCAGGGCAGGGGCCAGAACCTTGTACCCCATTTCTTCCAGGGCAATACCAGCTAATAGAGCCACAGACACTTTGCTCTACACCTGGCTCCATATCCCTTCTCTCTTGGCTACCCAGTGAGCCAGCTTCAACAAGAAGAATGGAGGGTGCAGTTGTCTCAGCCTACACCATATTCTGGTGGTTAGAGCAGTTTGCTGGGAAGTGGAAGATGTAGGTTCAAACTCACTCTGGAAAATGGGGTGGTGGGGGACAGAAATAGAACTTGGGCCTCCCACTTCCTGCGGAAGTAAAGGAACTGCTGGATTCTTGGGTTGAAAGGTGGGAAGGGACCTTCTCCCTTCTATAAGCAGCTTCTCTACCTATTTTTCCTCAGTCCACACTACTAGGACTTACACATAGTTATGCACCTACTTTGGCAAAATATGGCTGTGTGTGTTCTCTGGAGATCTAGTGGAGCTCTTGCGAGCATGCCCAGAAGGAAAAATCTAAGGCACATAACTGAGAGAAAATACACAGCTACAATTGGACACCTTTAGGCAAAACGGGATTTGTTCAAAAGGACATTTAAAATAATCATTTTATAAAATAGACCATCTATTTCAGCTCTAATCTTTCTACTTACAAAATACATATTTATTCTTCTGTCCCATCCAACAGCTATGATACACCTAGAAGAATCAAGTGTTCAGTTTGATATGATCTACACTAAACATTTTTTAAAAATGAAAGATGACAGAGATTTTGTTTAAATGTTTTTGTTCTAAAACATTAAGACCACAGAAAAATTAAACCTAACTGGCCAAAGAGTGTAAATAATCCACTGAGAATGGTTTCTATGGAATCACGCCATTACTGAGAGAAATACAGTGCTTTTCATTTGATGTTGCACAGAGGCAGACACAGAGGTCCTGGTTTCTAGATGATGCTGCAACATAAATAATTTAATATGGAGCACTGCATATTATCAGAACTATGGCACAGATTATTTCGATATTAGATCATTATCTGACTCAAATTACAGGCTGCAAACTAGGGAAGAGGACGGTAAAAGGTTCCTATACACATGCAGTGAGGCTGCTCTGATGTGCTGTAACTGCAGTGCGTTAGAGCTGACTTGATTAATCAAGTCTGCTGGAGTGTGGTAATTACTGCACTCCAGCCGACTCCAGCATTGTGTGTGTCAGCATCCCCATACTGAAAAATGGTGGTGAGGGTGCTTGAACTAAAGCTCATTCAATGAGCTTTAATTAAAGTGCCCTGCTGTCGTTTTTCAGCACAGGAACGCTGATACATGTGACACTCCAGATGCTTTAATTAACACAGCTCTCAGAATGTTTATAGATATGCTCTGGGAGGTGTGGGACATTTTAATGAGCATGGATTGCAGAGCCATGCTAATTAAAGCGCCCGGTGCATCACACATATCAGCATTCCTGTGTTGAAAAATGTTGGTGGGGGTGCTTGAACTAAAGCTTGTCAAACAAGCTGGAGTCTGCTGGAGCATGGTAATTACAACGCATTGGAGCAGCCTTCCTGTATGTGTATAGGAGCCCTCGGAGCTGTGCTAATTAAAGTGCCCTCCTCCCCCGCCTCCCAGAGCACATCTATAAACGTCCAAAGGTAACATCACTATTCAGTTTAAATCCTTCTCAGGGCTCACTTTATCATCTCTAAGGATTCAAAATAAAGGCAGAGTAAGTCTGAAGACTTGGTTCCAGCCCTTTTACCTTTCAGCAACAGGAGAAACAAGCACTTTTTCCCATTGTCCTGGATATCCTCTTGGTTTCCTGTTCAGTCCCCTTGAAGAAAATGCCCCCTGGGTCTGACATGTTCCCTCATTCCTTAATGCAGTCTCCAGCAAGCCATCCCAGATGCTTAGCCCTGTAATCCCTTCCCATCATGTGCCCTGTCTGAAGACTCTCACCACATCTGTGCTATGCATTACCTGAGTGCTACATTACAGGGCCCCACTGGCTGCCTATAGCTGTTTGTTTGCACCAGGTTTATTTTTCAGGCTGCAGTATATGCATGTCTGTGTGCAGCTCAGGCCTGACTAATGCTCCAAAAATAAGTTCCTACAGGAGAGAGGTGGCACTTGCAGTTTCACTTCCCACCCAATCCATCACTCCCTATGACAAGGTGCACATCAAGCCATGAAGCCACTTACTTGTTTCTATTCACCTCCACGTAGGTACAGTCACAAATTTCATCACATTTGCCTTCTGCAGGGGAAAATAAGCCAAAGTACATTCTCAAATGCTTTGTGTGATATTTTTTGCAGTCTCCCAACATTTTAAATCACCTTGCTTACCCCTTTTCAAGGTATGCAGACAGTGTCCATTGTTGTAATTCCATACTTTCAAGAAGCCATCTCTTCCTCCAGTAACTAACCTAACAGAGGGTTACAATTCAACACCTTTTTTCCACAAGTGCCAACAATCATACATTGAAATCCTTACCCATACATACAAAAACATACCTTCTTCCACTGTCATCAAAGGTCATACAGGTGATAGCAGCACTTCCATGAGCATCACAAAACTCAAACAAATGCTTTCCTGTTGCAAAATCCCACACTTTAACTACCTTTAGTAACAACAAGCAAACAAACAAACAGTGATTAGAGAAGCACCTGAAAAAGTAGCATAAATTTCCCATTTCACCCATCCATACCCAGCCTTTCCCAACTCATCCTGGGGTTTTAGATGAACAGTAGAACTGCATCCAGTACAAAAGGAACGCATTGCTTGGTTTCCTTCACAGAGATCTTTAACTTTTGCAGACAAGCCTTGTACAGCCAAATACCACTGTGATGGGTACCAAAGGCTGGATTCATAAGAACTTTGTACTTACATGCCCCATTAGGTCTTTAAGTCCAACATCTAGGTGCTACTGCCACCCACAAAGTCTTCGCATAAAACTTAAGGTACCCAAAAATGCTCAGTGTCTAAGTTTCTGATGACAAAGTCCCAAAGGCACCTAAGTGTCTATTGCTAGGCATGTGCACAACTGCTAAAGTCCTGCTTGTTTCCACTGAGATTCACTTACTGTACTCATTCTAATCGAAACCAAGTTTCCCCACCCACCTTCCATTTAGCACAGGGAGAAAAAAGCCTCATCTTAGATTCAAGTACAAGCCAGGCAAGCAGTTGCTGTAACTCCAGACAGGGCCAAGGTGGCTCATGTGGCAAGTAGGGGGTTCAGGGAGTGCGGGGAGCACAGGGAAAAAGCATGGAGAAAGGGGGTGCAGAGCAAGGGAAGCACAGGGAAGGGGTATGGGGAAGGGATTCACGATACTGCAGCTCTGGCCCTGACCCTAACCAAAGCTGGAGCCAGAGCTGCCACTACTGCCTGGCCCAGCTGGGTATTCTGTGACCATGGCAGAGCTAGAGTAGCTGCAAAGGTAAACAGCAAGGGGGAAGGAGAGCAGGCATCAGAGGGGGAAGCCACTGGGGGGAGGGGAGAGACAGGCAGCAGGGAGGCCAATAGCTGGTACCCCAGCAGCTGCTTTCTCTGTGCAAAGGTGGGGGGATGAATTTAAGAAGCCCCTCCAATAACTAGATTCTGGACACAGAAAAAAATTAGCAAATTTATATGTTTCCATGCAATCCAGAATTAGGTACTTAAGTCCCTGAGAGGGACAGTGCTCCAACCCAACCCCTTCCATCAGCTTCTGCATTTTTTTTCTGCATTATACAGAGGAGCCCAGGCATCTAACTTTTGGTTGTGACTTCTACCACATACCTCCAAATCAGGCATTGAAACATTCGGCTTTGTGACACTTAAGTGCCTCTTGCACATCTATGGTTAAGATCTAGACTGTAGACATGGTCAGCAACTGACAGATCACACTGACTGGTGCAGACTACGAAACTGGCAAAAGCTTGAGTTATAAATTATACATACTTAAGCTGGTATGCAATCAATAAGCTTGCATTTAAATCATAAGCAGTAGCCTAGGCAAGTCAAATAAGAATTGGTTCATCAAGCCACTAATATTAGACTAGGCCAAGAACAAATAACTGCATTTTGGAAAAGCGCGTAACAGCAGCTAGAAGTGACAATTGATGTTTTGCCTTTTGATAACAAATGAGTTGTATGTAGTCAGCTGGAATCCTATCAAAATAATAATATGTCTTTCTTAACCTGTTTTATTTTGTAACTGGCCTACTCAGCAAAGTAAAAGAAGCAAAATATGGCAAGTAGCATTCCCAGATGGTGAGGGAAAGAGATAAGAAGTCCTCTCTCCCAGAACTGCACTTTTCTCAAGGACACAAACCCCAGCTAATTATTGGCATCCTCCAAGACCACAGGAAAACTGGTTCAGTCCAGTTCTCAAAGTCTCAGTGAAACAAATATTTTAATAAGACCAATTAGAATATTTATTGAAATAACCCACATATACAAATTGTGTGTAAATAGGGGGAACCTGGGGAAGACATCAGCAAATGTAAAGGATCTGCTGCCAGCCTGCATGCCAGCTTCCTCCCCCCTCCTGTATTTCCCTGTTGAGAATCTGTATTATGCTGTTGCAGGTAGCTAGATAGGCATAGAGTAGGGTTGCCAAACCTCCCGGATTGGCCAAGAGTTTACTGGAATCAGCATCCATCTCCCAATGACTATTTAAAGCAATCCAGGAGACTGATACTGTGAAGTGGGTGAACAGTACAATTAATGACATTACGTCATATTGGGGAAAAAAATCTCCCGGAATAGCGTCAGTCACAGTTAGCAACCCTAGCATAGAGACAAGTGCTTATTCTTATGCTTTGGGATATAAATCAATAAAAGGTTGGGTTATAGAAGTAGCTCTGCCTTCTTCCATTTTAAGTGTTAATAATCCCTTACCTGCTAAAAGGGAATGGAGGATCATTGGGAATATGTTATTGCATCTTGATTTGATATACAAAAAGGGTAATCATTAAGAAAATTGAATTCTGTGTCTGAGCTTGCAAAGTCCTTATAAAGACAGGCTATAGTCCTGTCTCTCAAAAGACCAAATGATACTGGGTTTTGGTAACAAAGAAGCCCAAGTGTCTATGTGTCCTGGACAACATGGTTGTTCAGCTAAGGTTATATAGCACTATCTGATGTGATTGCCCGGTTTTATTATTGCTGGTTAAGACAAAGGCTTAGGCCTCATTAGGATGACTGGAAAGATTTAACTGCTGAAACTTCCTGAAAACTTAGAAGAGCTGGGTGGATTGGGAGTTACCAAATGGAACTGAGCGAGCAAAACCAAAGACTTTATGCTTGGTACAAAATAAGACAGTATTAGAATGTGTTTATTCTGAAATGAACAAAACACATGTAGCTTGGTACAAAACAAAAATTATATTTGAATGCGTTTAAATGAAGTGAAGAGACATACACAAATCAATATTTGATTATGCATATGTGGCTTTATACGACTGAATCATGTTGTGAATGACAAGAAAATGAAATGTATAAATACCTGATTTATGTAAGATGACTTTGGAAATAATGTATTCCTGTGTTATTCCCCACTGCCATAAGTCTTATCAGATACTTGACAGTGATTAAAGGCTCTTTTAGTAACTAACTCATGGCTTGTACTTTGTTGTGCTCAAATCTACGGACAAAAGGTTGTGCTGGCTGGTACAACTATCACTTTAAACCATGCCCAAATATACCCGTTGTTTGGGAGAGCTAAAAAGAATCATCAGTTCCGGAAAGTTGTAGCACATACTGGGAAAAAAGTTAAGTTCAAGACTATATATGATGATATAGTTGGGGATGGTCCTGCTTTAAGCAGGGGGCTGGACTAGATCAGTGTTTCTCAACCTGTGGGTTGTGACCCAAAAGTAGGTTGCAAGAACATTTGAAATGATCGCAAACAGTCACAGAAAACCACAGGTTTCCCCTTGCAAGCTGACAGCCTTCCAGGAACTGCTTGGAGGCAGGGGGGACCACATGCGTCTGCACGCATACACGCATGAGACTGGCAAACAGCCAAGCAGGGTGCATGAAGGTAAGTCTATGGGGAGTGGGGGTTGGAAGTCCAGAGCCATGCCTTGGAAGAGAGAGAGAGAGTGTGCGTGTGTGGGTAGATGTGTGCATAGGGGTAGGGGGTGCCTGCCAGTGCTGGAGGAAGGTACCTGGGTACTGGGTCTGTGAAAGGGTGGTAGGGGAGGCATCTGTTCCTCCAGCAGGGGAACAGGGCAGGGGAGCCCTTTAGGGGCAGCAGGGAGCTGCATGGTTAGGCCAGTACCCATGGTCGCAAGGGTGGGCGGCTGGGAGATGCTGCCCAGGGGGATGGAGACCATGGCCTAGATACCTGGTGCAGCGCAGGAGCCCCAGCCCAAGGTAGGGGGTACCATAGACCTCCCCTCCTCCTTCTTCCAGCCCATGCCAGGACCAGACTTGGTCTGCCACTGCCTGCATGACCCAGAGCCACTGCAGCTGCTGTGCTCCAGCCTGGGAGGGACAGGGGGGGCTCCCTCCAGCAGGACTGGGGGTGCAGCTATGGCTTGGGAGTGAAGGGCACCAGTAGGGTCAGGGGGCTGCAAGTCGTAAATGAGGAACACCAGCAATTTGCAGTGTGCAAATTGCACAATGATGGATGTCACTTGGGAGTAATGGTGGGCCACATGTTGGTATTTCTGTTAATGTTTTCCTGTCAATGCTGGTTTCTGTCTTTAAAATTAAGACTGTTGAGGTGCTTTAACATGTAATGTGTAATAAGTATTTTGGGGGCAAAATACTTGTGTGTTTTCTACTTAAGCTATTTACTGGGTCGGAACTGGCCAACAATGTTTACAAATGGGTCCTGGTACAAACAAGATTGAGAGCCACTGGACTAGATGACCTCCTGAGGTCCCTTTCAACCATTGGCAATGCATAGGGGGCTGCGCATGCACGCCCTGAGATTGGCCATGCACTCCTTGAGAGAAGCATCGGTGGCACTTCAGGGTTACTGCTGGCACTTCTGCTAATGGCGGCGATTGGCTGCCGGGGGACACCCCCCTCCCCCCGCCCCCAGTTGGCAATCAGGCGCTTGGGGATCCCACAGTTTTAGGAGGCACCAGTCACCCATGCTTCCAACCCTAATTTCCTATTATTCTAATAGTCAAATCAATTAAGATGTCACTGTAATAACATGAGAAGATTAACTCCCTTTAAAATATTTTACTGACTGCAGATTAGATAGTCTAATGGTGATGGGCACATTAAAAATGCACAAGTTAGAGACAACAAACACAGGCCATACTGTCAGCAACTATTTGCTTTGTGTACCAAAGCTGTCACTTACAGATCCTTCTGAGCAGCTCACCACGTGCTTAAACTCTTTGTTGTACTTGCAGCACAGAACTGGCTCCTTATGAGAAATGACCAAATGGGGCTCTGGAGGAGGCCTGTTTCATGGAAAAATAAACCAAATACCCTATGCTCCATTGTCACAGTCACTGTGTATCAATAGCTCACAACTGGTCTATACTAATTCAATAGAGCTCATGCAGTAGAAATTAACTTCATGAGTACTATGGAAAACACAATATTTCTATTCTATTATGCCTATGTACATATGTTATATTTACTCGATTATATATAATATTGCATTCTATTCAGGGCGGATTTACTTCAATCAAATAAATTTAAATCATGATTTAAATCACTGGTCAGGAAGCCTCAATTTAATCACTGTTTTGTACAAAAAGTGCATTTGTGTTGTTTTATATCCTTTACTCATTTAACTTCTTGAAAATTTGCACTTTTAGAGAAGGCAAGGGCTTGATTGTGTGCACAAACTTGTAGAGAGACAATAGGGCATGGGTGGCTAATCAGGTCCGTTATCTCTCCTCTCCATATACTGCTGTTTAATAAGAATGTTATCTCTGGAGACAACCAACTCTCCCTATGCCTGAAGAAGGGCGCTTGTGCCCCAAAGCTTACAAAGAAATTTTTTTTCTATTTAGTTGGTCTAATAAAAGATACCACATCCCCATTTTCAAGAAGGGGAGGAAGGAGGACCCAGGCAACTATAGGCCAGTCAGTCTCACCTTCATCCTTGGCAAAGTCATTGAAAAAATTATCAAGGCTCACAGAGCCCGGCAGGAAAAATTATGCTGAGGGGAAACCAGCACGGGTTCGTAGCAGGTAGATCATGCCCGACTAATCTAGTCTTTTTTTATGACCTGGTTACAAAACGCCTGGACGCAGGAGTAGGGGTTGATGTCATATACTTAGACTTCAGGAAGGCCTTCGATACGGTATCCCACACCATACTGGTGAACAAGTTACGAGGCTGTGACTTGGATGACTACACAGTCTGGTGGGTGGCGAATTGGCTAGAGGGTCGCACCCAGAGAGTCGTGGTGGATGGGTCGGTTTCAACTTGGAAGGGCGTGGGCAGTGGGGTCCCGCAGGGCTCGGTCCTTGGACCGATACTCTTCAATATCTTCATCAGCGACTTGGACAAGGGAGTGAAGTGTACTCTGTCCAAGTTTGCAGATGACACAAAGCTGTGGGGAGAAGTGGACA